AAATATTGACATTGGCTCGATAAATAAGCGAATTTACACACTACAAGATTATATCGATCATGCTCATCACTTGTGTAAAATCCAGACAAAAGGACGCGAAACATACGAAAATATGAAACAGCTAATCGAAGCGGAAAATCATAAAATAGTTACTTTAGCCGATCGAATAAACACCATTTATCAAACATTCCAAAATAAAAATGTGGATTAATTGATGGAATAGGTGGATCCATTGCTAAAGCACTTTTTGGCACTATGGATGCTTCGGATGAAAAAAATCATCAAATTGCGAACAAATTGCGATTCTAAATAATAAACAGCAAACACTTCATCATGTCATGGCGAATCAATGAAAAATTCTAAACACCACACTCGCGCATGTCGATGAGTTACAAGAAGTAACCAGCTACAATGCTCAATTACTTTTTAACATTATCACTAGAATAAATAGCAAGATGGCCAAACAGAACTTAAGAGAGGAGATGGATGAATATTTTCTTACACTAAACGCCATTATTACGGACATCTTACAAGATATAAATTCTATTATCAACCATCTCACTTTTCTTAAAAAAGGAAGACTACATCTTGGGATTACATCAATAAATGAGATCGTAACCAGCCTGAAAGCTCAAGTACATTTGCCATTAGGACTCCATTTCTCTTTCAGAATCCTTGAGTGAAATTGAATTATTGATAGAAAAATGCATCACTGTCAGTGCGATTATGACGAACCAAATATACCATTTTGAAATTCCCTCTAATCTCTTATCCGAAATATGATATACTCAAGGTCATACCATTACCCATATCCGACCACGATAATGTATGCTCTGACTGAAGTAGATCAGACCATAATAGCCGTAGATAGCGAAAATCAGCATTATATGATGTTAACATGCGAAGATTTAAGCGTAAGATGTAAACAAATTAACTATATTTATATCTGCGAACACACCAATCTTATATACCATGAAAACACAAATTCGTTAGGTGAAATTCAAATGTATGTGCAAAATTCTAATTCTAAGATATGTGTAACACGCGATACATTGAATCTAATCATTCCATATGGATAGCCCTCGAAAATCAACGAACATGATTATACTTTACCCCTTATGAACAAATAAATACTATAGACTGTAAAAATCGTGAGGAATATAAAATGAAAATTGTAAGAACGGGAGAAGTTGCGCTATACGGAGAATGTAAATTAACAACTGCGGACATGATTGTAAAAACAATAGGAACCATCAAAGTTACAACCATTCAAATTCGCTAATCAGAGTGCAATTTAACCCGTGTGCGAAATCAACTAGAGCATAAGGACTTAAGCCAACCGGAAGTAGTAAAATTAAAAAAAATTATTCGTGACCCGACGGAATTAATGGATTTAAGCGTCAAACTACAAGATTTAACAGCAAAATTAAAAAACGCACGAAATTCATTACTTCTGCCGGAATTTATTAGGTGTATAACTTTGCTTCCGCCGTTTTTTTCCGAAATTCGAGGCTTTATTGTAAAAAACTGATTATACATTTATGATTCAAAGTATTGTCCATCGCTGGCCACTACTTTCTCCCATCTTTCGGGCAGCGTACGAATCCCGCGTCGAAAAAACTGATCATCTTTTGAGGCGATCCATGAATCGGTCCAATTTTTTACTTCTTCATAAAACTGGAAATGCTGGTCAGCCAGGCCGTGTGCCATTGATCGAAAGTAATAGTCAGAGCTAGCAATCTGGAGAATTCGACGGGTGGGGTAGGACTTCCTATTTCAACGTTTCCAAGTATGTCTTGACCACTTTTGCAATATGGAGTCGAGCATTGTCATGCTGCAAAATCACTTTATCGTGTCTCTCGTTGTATTGCGGCCGTTTGTCTTTCAATGTTCGGCTCAAACGCATCAATTGCGTTCGATACTGATCGCTTGTGATTGTTTCAGTCAGTTTTAACAGCTCATAATACATTACGCCGAACTGGTCCCACCAAATACAGAGCATGACCTTGGAGTCGTGAATATTCGGTTTGGCCGTCGACGTGGAAGCATGGTCGGGAACTCCCCATGATTTTCTGCGCTTGGGGTTATCGTAATGAACCCATTTTTCGTCCCCAGTCACAATGCAATGCAGAAATCCCTTCCGTCTTTGCTTTTCAAGCAGCTGTTCACAAGCAAACAAATGCCGTTCAACATCTCTCGACTTCAACTCGTATGGCATCCAATTTCCTTGCTTCTGAATCATTCCTATGACTTTGAGGCGTTTTGAAATGGCTTGTTGAGTCACTTCCAATGATCGTGCCAATTCTTCTTGATTTTGACACGAGTTTTGATCAAATAATACCTCCAATTCTGCATCTTCGAAAACCTTCTCTCTTCCACCATTATGCTGATCTTCGACGTCAAAATCACCTTGAAGCGTTGAAACCACTCACGCCACGTTCTTTCACTAATAGCAGCCTCATCATAAGTATTTGAGAGCATTCGATGAGTCTCAGCCGCAGATTTCTTCATATTGAAGCAGAAAATTAAAACCTTCCGCAAATGACGAGAATTTGGCTCGTAAACTGACATTTTCAATCGAGAATAATTTTATGATGCAGACGACTAATGTTTCTATGGGGTTATATTGACAGATGCCCAAGTTTATTGTATGACTTCTATGATCTATTTATTTCAACCACCACTGACCGCTAAAGCCATCTGTAGAAAAACGTCGGAAGCAAAGTTGTACACTTAATATTATATATACAATTTTAAGTAGTACTATTACAATATATTAATTATTGTAATTATTGTAATAATTGTATAACTATCAACAAACGAAAGAATCGCGCGGCGAATGTAACAAATCTCGCGTAAGAAAAAAAAAGAAAATGACAACCCTTCGTTTTCTTTTTTCAATGAGGGAAGGATGTTATGACTCAAATAGGTCATACCCAAAATCTACGTCTGCAGATTCTCTGCAGACCAGCAGTTAAAGCATCACAAATCAAGTCACCTACTTTTGATTTCAAAACTGACGACATACTTTACTTTAAAATGCAATCACGCATTAATTCGGCCTAATTTGTATATATAAAAACATAAGCCTCGAGCATTGCGGATGGTTCCAAAAAGTCAAGAAGACACACGACTACTGTGAGAATCTCCGTTACTGCGAGCATTACTGCGAGAAGATTGGAACACATCGAATACTCGTAAGTGACAATAAAACTTCTTACCACGAACGTTGGCTTAGATTAATTGGAAACCTCGAGCCCTTCCTAAACGATACCGCCATGTCCAATCTGTGATGGACACGCCTGAGCGGAACGTCATACCTTACGGTAGGACTGGTTAACGGCTGACCCATAATTCTATAAACGGTGCCCGGAGCGGCACCCTTGCACACTGAGCGGTACAACAAGTCCAATAAAGGTTCCAGTATACCAGCGAAGAGTCACTCGAAAGAACGAGGATTAGTCACACCGCGAGGATTAGTCATTAAAAGGGCTTAAGCGCTGATTTGGAATAACTCAGGGCAATTGTTGCGAAAATTAGCATCGATTATTAGTGTAAGCGAACCAACAATGCATCGAATTGCCGAAGAAGACCTTCGATACAAATCGTACACATTAAAGATACGACAGATATTCTCTGAAGCTGCCAGGACAAGTCAAGTTGACAATCTACTATTGTGTTCTTTGAAAAACGAAGCATTGGAACGAATCAGATTCTTTTCTGACAAAAAAATTTTTACTGTTGATGCCAAAATCAAGGAATGATGGTCTATAATCCTGGATGTCCCTATTGTCACCAGAATAAAATTTCCAGCCAATGTTCACGTGCAAGTTGTTGTGTCGAGTGAGGATGATGCCACCACATTTTTTTAAAAAAGGAGAAACTGTCATAAAAGAAGTGTATTTGCGCGTTCTGATGGATGTAGTGAAACTATGGATGGAAACTGTGGCAACCGGAAGACTATATATTTTTCAGTAGGACGGTGAATCAGCTCATACAAGTCATTTGATTCAAAATTGGCTCTCAGACAACGTCGATATGTTTTGGTCCAAGGAATTCTGGCCTCCCAACAGCCCAGATTTAAGCCCAGTAGTCCCTTGGACTACTACGTATGGAGCGTAGTTGAAAAGGTCACAAATAAATCTCGGCATCCCAATGTGACGTCATTAAGGGCCGCTATTCGAGGCAACATTCGTTGGACACTGCTACATTACAGCGTGCATGCGAACGTTTCAGACCGAGAACAGAGGCTGTCATTCAAGCTAATGGGGGATATATCGATAATAATTGCTCTACGGGGATCCCCCAAGTGTCATGTAAAAGGATTTTTTTGTAATATTTAATTTTTTATTAAAAATATTTAATTTTTCATTAAAAATATGTTTAAAGAAATTGTTTGATTTGTCCGGATTTTTACGCACCCTGTATACTTTAATGTTTCTTTAACGTTTAGTTGACGCTTCCTTCCGTTTCATGTTCCAATTTTCGCTTCTTACGAGTTTAATTTACGTTTCTGTTACTTCTTCCTTACACTTCCTTCACACTCCAATTAACGTTTTATTGACACTCGTTTTACGTTTTATTTTCATCAGGGCGGCTTCCCTCACTCCGTCCGGCGCACTGTCTCGTCCACGTTCTTCAACTTTCCAATGGTTTTAAACAAATTTTTTCGACAACAAAAAATTCGAGAATTTTTTAATAGCAAATTAAATTCTTCTTTGATAAATTGATGCCAGACGGAACTTTTAATCTTAAAAATTAGAGCTACAGTGATTTTTTGAAAAAAATTGTTGTCTCGGCCTTAATAACACAGGTCAACATTTGATCTAAAAGGATACTCTGGAAGCGGACTGGTCCCAGTAGGTTTTTTGGGTCGCTGATTACGATGAGCGGATTGGTTAAGCTTCATCACATCAGGTTCAAGGTCATTTCAAGGTCAAGTGGAGAGAAAACCTTCGAAAAAATCCAAAAAAATTCATGGGTATGTTTTTGAGGTCCCCGAATCCAAATCCGTAGTTCGTTTGAACCCACGACCCCTCCTAGAGGTCATTCAAGGTCATTCGTAGGAAATTTGTAGGTCAAGTAGAGAAATAACCGTCTGAAAAATATGAAAAAATGCATGGGTATGTTTTTGAGGTCCCCGAATCCGAATCCATAAATTGTTTAAACCCGCGACCTATCCTAGAGGTCATACAAGGTCATTCTAAGGTAATTTGAATATAAAGCACAAACAAAATGTATTCATACATATCTTTTTTGAGTTTAGCTTTCGATTCCAGAATTTAGGTTTGGTTGCAACCAGGGCACCTCCCCGTGGTGACGGTGTGCAACGGAGTTGTCTCACTATCCGGCGAAGTCCCTGGGTTACGCCGTCATGGCAACTAAACGTAGAAAATTTACGAGACAGGGTTTCGGATACCCAGAATCGGCGGCTGGTCAGGGTGGGGAAGCGGACCCGCAGGCGTCGTCATCAAGCGACCGTAGCTCTACAGTGGTGGAAAACTTGGCCTCTGTAGAGTCGAATGCTACAAGACATTTGTCATGTACTATTGACGTGAACAATTTTTGTATTGTTTGTGGGGAGTTTATTCCACAAAAGAAAAAATTTGTATTTTCAGATGCTTTGAAAATAAAATATAAACAACTTTATAGTATTGATACAAGTTCATTGGACAACTCATATACTCCCAAAACTATATGTTCGAGATGCCGTAGTGTTCTTAATGAAATTAACAAGCAGGTATTTTCTAAACCAATGATATGGAGATCCCCAACAAATCATGCTACCGACTGTTTCTTCTGTTTAACAAACATGAAAGGTTACAACCGAAAGAATAAAAATTTAATTTCATATCCACAAGTCAGATCTGTGAATTTTCCAGTTCCTATTCACACGAATACTAATGATAGCAAGGAAATAAATGAAGAGGAACTGGAAGATTTAAATGATGAAGATTTGTTAGATGGATCATTGGAATGTGATGAGAGTCAAAATTTTAGCACAGAAGAGTCAGATTTTGAGGAAAATACGGCAGATGCTGAGAAATGGGACCAAGATGAAGTGAGTGATCTTTGCAGAGACTTAGGGAATAATATAGATATATAGATATAGAATATAGATATAGAATAGAACGATATAGAATATACACCAAGCGATTGGCGACTTTTTATAGATTCGTCAAAAAAAAGTTTGAAAGCAATCTTGCTACATAATG